TGAGATTTATCCAGAGCATTGTACTTTATTTGGAGATTTTTCTTTCGTTTACTATGTTACCAGCTTTTTCCCTTCTGATTTGGACAGCAGTATAGTTTCTATATCCTGCATATTTGCCTTTGGATGGCCACAACTCTGCTGATATTTAGAAATACTCCTAAGACCTGGCTTTTTCCTTTAGCACAGGACCCAAATGTTAGTGAGTTTTATTAATAATTGATCCTGACATTGCAAGTTTAATGCCTGGCTTTTTATGAATGATGTATTTTTCCCCTTAATGTTTAAAATTGACAATGCATCCAAAGTTACTTGGCAAATGGGTGATCACATACATAAGTAAATAAAATTTAATATTTAAACCTCAATAACAATGGGTTTTTACATTTTTTTAAAGCTTGATTTTGTTTATCTCATGAGATAGATCCATGGTGGCGAACCTATGGCATGCGTGCCACAGGTGGCATGCAGAGCCCTCTCTGTGGGCACGTGTGCCATCGCCCCAGTCCTAGGCCTTCAGCTGGGTTTTATAAAACCTTTTTGCTTTAGGCCTCCATGTGCAAAAAAAAAAAAAAGATTCAATCAATCAAATTCAACTTCTCGCGGGAAAAAAAAAAGGTCTCGCAAAGTTGGAATTGATTGATTGAACTTTTTTGTCCCACCCAGTCTGCCGTTACCACCGCAGCCACGCCCACTCAATTGTCCACACCCACCCAATTGTCCACACCCGCCCAATGGGCCACGCCCACCCGGCACCCGACGATACATAAGTGGGTTTTGGGTTGCAGTTTGGGCACTCGGTCTCTAAAAGTTTTGCCATCACTGACACAAATTATCTTTCAAGAGGGAAGAAGTTATGTGCCACTATGTTACATAGCCATGAATTTGAAATAATTTGCATTTGTCCTTTTAATTACTTGAAAGGCAATACAGAATGCAAAAGTCTTCTCACATACATTGAAAATTGTGGGTAGACTCCAGGTGAGGATCTCTTTGGAAGATGGCAAGACATACTGTAAAACTGATATTCGAAAGCAGCACCGAGGGCTAGGACCTGAAGACTAAGGAGAGGACCTCATTAGAAATATATCTGATCTGCAGCCTTAGCCTGTGGGCTCAGCCAATCTACTATAGACGTATATCTCCGTGGGACTAGAAGAATGAAAAAATGAAAAACACTAGTAGAAAGAATTAAGTTTCAGTACTATCCCACTCATTTTTAAAATATAAAAATTAATCCAATTCCAGCAAAATCTGTCAAGTCAAATTCTCAGAACATCAGCCAAGCTCTAACTGAGTAAAGGTACTGTATGTGAGGTTGAGTAAGGAGCATGGAGTATGTATTTTAGAAATTTAGATGATCAGCTTCCAGATTATAGATAGAGCTGATCACAATGTAACAACAAATGTAATTTAAGCTTTATGTAATTTAATTGCTGCAGCAATGTAGCTGTTGCCCTGATGGCACACATATTTAAGGATTGTGTTGGATGCTTTGAGGTCCTTTCTAGAGAGTTGCTCAATTGATTAATCTAGCAGTTGGAAATTTGAACATGCACGACTCAAGTTCTTAACTGATTAACAGGCCTAATTTTCCATCTAAAAGGGGACTTAAAATGCTTTCTAGAGAAGACTAAAACCTTATTTTTGAGTAGTTAATTTCAAGAGCAGTAGCTGGTAATGCAACTTAAGATGGTAAAGTTTAGCAAAGGATTGCAACAATGCCATTAATATAGAAATTAAACAATAAGGAGTCCAGAATCAGTGTTTCTGGTTTGCCTTACTTTGTTGGATAGATTTATTTCATTCCTCTGGAGGCAAATTCACTGTTTTGATTTATTGGGCTTTTCACTTCCAATTGTATCCTTCCACAGCTGAAATAAAGCCTTGGTTTAACTTAAACAGGATAGGGATTATACATTTAAATTATGGTGCAACTGCTGGTTCCCACTTAGATAGTCTTTAAAAATACTTTTATAACATCTTACTACAACTTGCTAATAAACATATTTACTGTCAAACTACAAGTTTAGTGTTGTAGAAAAATAAATAAGAAGCATGATACAGTACTAATGTACATTGTATGTGTGTGCATTGTCCCCATGTTTAAGACCAATATACTAAAGTATATTAAGAATATTTTTAAAAAAAGTACCATTCAAAATTCAAAACAGCAACCAATAGTTAAAAAGTATAATTAAAATACTATGAAGTTCTCTAATTTAATATAAAGTGGGAAAGAACAGGAGAGATTTCTGCCTGTCATTTCTAAGACAGCAAAGAGGCTAAGAAAATAGACCAAGAGAGAGAGAGAGTATTATAATGAAAATGACTATAACAAATTCCCCAGTCTAATTACTTGCCTAATGTCAGTTTATAAAAAGTTTTCAAGTTCCTGAAGGAGGCTTTCGTCGTTTAGATTGTCTGGTTTTGAATGATTCTATTTAATTTACTTCCTGTTTAGAAAGTGATTTAGCAGAATCTCCAAAGAAAAGTACAGATAGTCTCAGGTTACGACCATAACGGAGCCTACCCATTATAGTCACAAGTCACGTTATTGCCTCATTTAATAGTCCCAACTTCTGCTCTTCCCCTGTAATTGTTAAGCAGTTTACTAACTGGAGCATTAGGTGACTCAGATGTAGGGGTGGCCTGGGAGTCCTAGCGCAGGTCCAGGCTTCCCCACCCAGGCCTCCCAAGGTCTTCTCCATCCCCAAAGCACCCCGTGCACCACTTCTTGAACCTTTGGGTCCCAGCTGGATTTTCCAAGCTTTTGGACTTGTGCTGGGGCCCATCCTCAGGAACTTGTCTCTCACCAGAATGTGTAAGAGAATACACAGATTGGATGGGCTGTGCTGCACGGGCTCCAGCATGAGTCTGAATGCTTTGGAGATTAAATCTCTGGTCCCGGTGATGCCCCAGATTGGATCCTGCAGCATTATCCTGGGGCAGTGATGGTGAACCTTTAGAGACCAAGTGCCCAAACTGCAACCCAAAACCCACTTATGTATCGTCAGGTGCCGGGTGGGCATGGACCATTGGGTGGGCGTGACTGCGGTGGTAAAGGCAGATTGGGTGGGACTAAAAAGTTCAATCAATCAATTCCAACTTTGCGAGATCTTTTTTTTCCCTGCAACAAGTTGAAATTGATTGATTGAACCTGTTTGGGTTTTTTTTGCACACGGCAGTTGAGGCCTAAAGCGAAAAGGTTTTATAAAACTGAGCTGAAGGCCTAGGACTGGGGTGATGGCGCACGTGCCCACAGAGAGGGCTCTGCGTGCCACCTGTGGGACGCATGCCATAGGTTCACCACCACGGTCCTGGGGCATGTATATTTGCCTTCACGCATCACATAATGTATAATCTATATCTCTATGCTATGAGAACTTATGGGAAGGCTGACTATGTATACAATCTGACAGCAATATATAACTAAAATAACACTAAAATGGTAACTATATTAATATCTCTCTGAAAATGTTATATGGATTTGTATTACTATTGTATTTAAATCAGAAATTCCTTGGATCAAGTTTGTCCAGATGGATAACCAAGACTAGAAAATCAGAAAACTACTCTAATAACATCTAATCATGCTCCGAAGTGGAACATAATCCTTGTATAAAACTACCCAAGCGTCATGTTTTACATATTCTTAATAAAGCATACATTGTTTATTTAACAATGGGCTGCTTAACATTCCATCCTACTATTTTATTAATATTAACGTTTGGCTTCATAAAAACAACAACTGGATTTTGAAATGTACGTTTCCCAGATGTTGCCTTGGCTAACATCCAAAACAAATCAAATGATAAAAAAGAAGCCAGGTTGCATGCATAAATTACATACATAGGTAGGAAAATGATTATTTTATTATTATTATTATTATTATTATTATTATTATTATTATTATTATTATTATTATTATTATTATTATTATTATTATTATATTATTATTATTATTATTATTATTATTATTATTATTATTATTATTATTATTATTATTATTATGTTATTATATTATTATTATATTTAAATTTATATCCCGCCCTTCTCCTCGCGGACTCAGGGCGGCTGACAATCAATTAAAATACATAAATGACAATTACAGATTTAAAATTAATTTATGCTATTTTTGAAAATAATCTAAGCATTTTCAAAGGGATCATTTCTCATAAAAATGTGGTTAACCTAATAATAATTCACTAGATAATTTGATAATTCCAATGGGGAGTTTAATCACACATACTGCTTGTGTAATTTGTAAATGTTTAATTTTCAAAAGATATCTAAGTCTTTCCCAGTTTCTTTTCTGGGATCCCTGAAGATACCTGCCAAAATAATTTTCTTTCATTTTAATATTAGAACATAGCACAAAGCAAACTCTAGTGACTTGAGTGCTACAAGGTCAGTTACTTAAATATTCTTTCAACTATTCCTCTATTGAGCCTATGAAATTCAGAATTAACCTACAAGTCCACCAATCTGATGATGGCTTAGTGCTAAAATGTAAAGATCAGCAGACATAATTGATCGTTCTATCCAATCAATCTGTCTTAATTATCTTAGGGAATCCAGATTGTTAGAGATAAATCTTATACCTGGGTATAAATAAATTCAATTACCCTTAATTCAGAATGTAAGAAGAACAGTGACAATAGAGAGCTAGTGTGGATGAATGAACTGATGAGATCTGAGTTTCCACACATCATGGAACATGATGGGTAAGTTCATATTAATCAAAATAATTCAGTTTAGGATTCCTTGAAAGAAAGTTCTGAGCCTAGCTGGCAGAGATGAAATGCTAAAAATGTGGGATTTTTTTTTTAAAAAAGGCAATCAAAAATAATATTCTAAACACTTAGCTGTCATTCTTTAAATAATTGTTAAGGACGATGTGTGTAAAACTGAAGATACGGAATTGAGAAGAATTCTAGGACTCTGATGACTTGACTGTTAGAAATTTGTCAGACAGAAGGCCTCATAAATTCTCAACTTACCTTCACATCTTTTACGTTCATCCTCGTTCCTTCTTTTCCAACAAAGATGTCATCGATGTCAACAAGAATGTATCTGTCCAAGGATAATGTAAGCCTTTTTCCTGTCAAGAAGGAGATGGCATCTATAAAAATAAGCTTGTGCAGCCAAAAGTTCAAGTTGTTTCCAAAAAGGACTCTTTGAATTCCATCATGAAGTCCCAGGTCCTGAATCACTGTAGCATAGAGATTAAGCTTTGGAAGTGATGCTGGGAATGGTTTGGAAGCTTGAAATTCTGTTAAAAGCACTGGTTGATAAGTAGAATGGTTATACTGGAAAACAGTCCAGTCATCACCAGGTAATGGGCCTTTTTTAACCTTTGGGGCTTTGGTTATACGCAAAAGAGGGGACTGGGGGTTTACTAAGCAATCCTGCAGAGCTATATTGTTGTAAAGATGTAATGGGAATCCTTTGAGCTGAGTACTTAACAAACTATTCTCATTGGCTTTATGAAAACCAATTATGCTAACACTGTATTCCACACAGTATTTTTCCAGGAGTTCTCTGTTCCACGAATCCATGGATGTGTATTTCAAAATATTTTCATATACTACAAGGATGTATTTCCCTTTGCCATTATCAGCCAGGGGTGGAATATCCCCTTTCCCAGATGCAATCACCATATGATACTGAAACCGACTAGACTCCATGATGGCAATGATGTCTTGACCAAGTTGAGAGTACTGGCTTTCCACAAAAAGCAGCACCATAGCATCAGTCCTGGTTGGATCAATTGGCTTCACTGTTTTAAGTTCTAGGGTTCTGTAGGGCAAAAGTTTCAGATCTTCACACTCCATTTCTCCTGTAGTATCAGTGAGGGCAATTTCTTGTTTGTGACCTGTATACAAGTAATAAGCAGAAATGACTATGCTCACTAAACAGAAGGTGGCCAAGAGAAATACGAGTGTTCGGAAACTTCTACGAAGTTTCATGATCACATTCATCTTTGTATTGTTTTGTTTTTTTGCTGCAGTGTATTTCTTTTGCTTCATCTCCCCCAGACTTCTGACAATTGGCTTCTTCCTTTTAAAGTGCCATCGTAAATAGACCACAAGATGGTATTAATACCACTCTCCAAATATTCATGTGACCATTGCAATTCATGTATTGGGGAAAAGGTGAAGACTATGAAATTCCAGATACTGAAAGTCCAAAGGGATGGAAATCTATATTGAAAGCTGTATTCTTTGACTGCACCAGTTGCCAATAATCAATGGAGGAGACGCTTAGCATTATCTGTAACAAAGTGAGAAATTAGAGTAGGTAAGAAAATCCATACAGCAATTAAAATGTGTTAATTAAATAAGCTAGTAACTTCTATTAAAAGAAAAATAAATCCCACCTATGAACATTTTTATTGATTCCGAGAGAGAAGATGACAAGGGGATGACTTCCTGGTAAATTTATGTGTGAAGAACATGCTTATCATTTACAGTTGTTACCCAAAATACCTATTATTTATTTCAGGCCTATATTTATCATGCTACATAAAAGTACAGTTCAACAGTATTTCTCATATTCTATAAGACACCATAATAAGCACCATTAGCTGAATTTTTATATAAATTTATACTTCCAGGTATCATAAATTCATAGTATTAAAACCTAGGCAACAAGAGAAAATGAGAGAACCATTCTCATTTTATTTATTTATTCATAAAATTTATTGGCTGCCCAGGGTAACTCTGGACAGCTTACAGTCATAAAAGATATATGTATATGTACAATAAAAACATAAATAAGTTAATATTTCTGTTATTATATGTCAATAAAGAGCCCTGGTGGCAAGTGGTAGAATACAGTAATGCAGGCTAACTCTGTCCAGATCTGTGTTATCAATCCACCTGGAGGGTTAACCTACTGTGGGGATTGTGCAACCATGCGTCTTCCCTGTAGGGAAAAGGAAGAGATGGTGAACCGGGAGGATGCTGCATCAAAGCCAGAGGGCAGCTGTGAGAGTCCTGAGCTGGAGGGAGAACTAAAATCCCAGCCCATTCAGAAGGGAATCTGGCATGGCCAAGCTGACCCTAGCCCATAACCAAAGACATTGGCATGGAAACCAATGCCTCTGTCCTGATCCCCCAAGGGACAATGGGAGCTCACCCCAGAGAGACACTGATCTCGATGGTCCCTGGGGGTCAGAAAACTTGAAGAGACCTCCCGGTGGAAGTGACCTTCATCCAAGGGTCCAGACATTGAGAACAGTGCCCTGAAGTGCCAGTTGAGCCGACGCTGATTGAGATAGATCGCCATGTTGCGTTGATTTACCATTGCCATTGCTCCAACAAGATCCAGCATTTGACCACTGTCCTGAGTCAGACCCAAAATGATCTGGGATAGGTCTATGTCTGCCATGGCGGCCATGAGCTTCTAGGCTGTAGAGGTGGCTGGTTGAAGTTCCCTAGGACCAAAAAACCTGGGGAACTCCACTGCTAGTCCTGAGATGGCCTCCAGCAGTTCAGGCAGGGAGGTTGCCATGTAGCAGAGAGGCTGATATAGTAGAAACAATCCCAAATAATTCCATGAGCCCAGATTCAGGAACAGGATCTCACAATCAGAAACTTGGGAGCAAGACCCCTGAAAGCCAAAAAAGATTCTTAAATGAGCACTGCCAACCCTCCTCTCCTACCCTGGGGTGTCTGCTGGTGCCAAATCCTAAATGAGTTGGGAACTCCTCCCCTCTGGAGTCAGCAGATCTCAATTATGCACACCAGATCGACTTGTTCCTTCTCACTGTGGTCCTGGATAAGCTGTCGGTTCTATAGGGTATGTACTGAGGTAATTTTAACTATTTTACAATTTAGGCAAGAAAAACCAAATGTACAGGTATAGTATAGGGGGTACCTTGCTCAATAGTAGGAACTGTGAGAGGGATCTCGGAGTCCTAGTGGACAATCATTTAAATATGAGCCAGCAGTGTGCTGCAGCTGCCAAAAAAGCCAACACAGTGCTGGACTGCATTAACAGAGGGATAGAATCAAGATCACATGAAGTATTAATACCATTTTACAATGCCTTAGTAAGGCCATACTTGGAATACTGCATCCAGTTTTGGTCACCACGATGTAAAAAAGATGCTGAGACTGTAGAAAGAGTACAGAGAAGAGCAACAAAGATGATTAGGGGACTGGAGGCTAAAGCATATAAGGAAAGGCTGCTGGAATTGGGTATGTCTAGTTTAACGAAGAGAAGGACGAGGGGAGACATGATAGCAGTGTTCCAATATCTCAGGGGCTGCCACAAAGAAGAGGGAGTCAAGCTATTTTCCAAGGCGCCTGAAGGCAGGACAAGAAGCAATGGATGGAAACTGATCAAGGAGAGAAGCAACCTAGAACTAAGGAGAAACTTCCTGACAGTTAGAACAATTAACCAGTGGAACAACCTGCCTCCAGAAATGGTGAATGCTCCAACACTGGAAGTTTTTAAGAAGAGACTGGACAGCCATTTGTCTGAAATGGTGTAGGGTTCCTGCCTGAGCAGGGGGTTGGACTAGATGACCTCCAAGGTTCCTTCCAACTTTTTTATTTTTATTATTATTATTATTATTATTATTATTATTATTATTATTATTATTATTATTATTATTATTATTATTATTATTATTGTTGTTGTTGTTGTTGTTGTTGTTGTTATTGTTATTGTTATTGTTATTGTTATTGTTAAAATTTTAATTGCTGAAATGTATCATCATTGAAATGGAGAAACCTAACTGTTTAATAAAAGAGCCAAAAAGAACCAAAGTTTTGTATTATTTGAGTATGTTATTTTCATAATGTTTTAACTACTCAACTCTACAACTATAGATTTGTAAAGGGACATTTAGGCTACTCATTTTAATCCTTACTCTATTTAGAAGTCATTAATAAATGTATTTGAAGGGTTAGAGGATTCAGGACTACTTATTACCTGCCATTTGACACATCATTTTGATGAACATTCTTTGATATCATTTTTGAGGCAACTCTGCACTGTACATCCAATCCTATTCATATTTAAGATATTTCCAATTAACAAAAATATAATCGTAAATAGATATTTCTATTTTTGGGAGTAATTTTTTAATTAGTCCACAATTGATAGCTCAAGCCTGATTATTCTAAACTTCCTATAAGTTGTTTATTGAGCACTATTGTTTCCAGTGCTTTCTTTATACTGAGTTATAGATCAATCAAAGAAGAAAAAAACAAGGATGCAGTTCAGTGGTGACAATGATAAATAACTGCAGCTTAACTCCTGCAGCTTAACTCAAATCACATGCAAGACTTGGAGTTTACAATCACATTAGGGATATGTGCTGCTCAAATCAACAAATTAGTTGTCCTTGCAGGATCAGCAGCAGCAGCAACAACACAAATTTGTCTGCATATTTGTTAGGGAACACGTTTTGAATTTTTAAATTAAACTCCATTTGGTTTTTCATAACAGATTTTTTTTCCAGCACTAGAGGGCAATATATTCCTGCTTCTTTCCAAATAACAATAGGTATCAAAGCATCACCTGTTTATCTAGAAGAAATGGTTGTAAAACAAGTAGGTATGTAATAATCCAGAGATCACAATAGTCTAAAAGCAAAAGATAAGATATCCCATACTAGAATTTACTGCTAAATGATTATAATTTTATTACTCATAAATGAGGGTGCAAGGTTTTTTTTCCCCATTACTTAACATTGTTTCTCACTCTTGACCTGTAAAAAAGTGAAGAACATAATATAAATTGGCTATAATTTCCTGTCTTTCATGCAGTTTCATACTAAACTATGAAAGAAAGAAAAAGAAATCTGGTTTAAAATTAAATTGTGAATAATGTAGATAACCTCTATGTGAATTTGACAGATGGAAATTTAATTATGTAATTTCAAAATAATGAATATGAAGAAAATGATTTCTAGGTGTATAAAGAATTTCAAAATAACTCAGAATTCGAACTAACTATAAAATGAATGTGTTTCTCATTAAAAGAAATGAAATTTTAAAGTCTCACCTTGGCTAACCCTTACATTGTAAACTAGAACTCATATATAAAGTTGGAAGTAATGATAATAGTTTTGAAAACATCATAACCTTTGAATTATGGAGACCTACAATTGGGGCAACCTTACTTTTCTGAAGGAATTTCACAATTATTTGTTCACTTCCCAGGTACACACATCCAGTAAAAAAAAATGTTCCTCTCCCATGCACATACATCCTTTCCCTCTTGTTGGCGTGACACAGGTCTAATCATGTGTAAAATCTCATTTCAGCAGAAACTGTAACGAAAGACAAGGAAAAGTGACACTCTTGGTCCCAGAAAAACATCCCAAAACCCTTCACCTGAAAGTGAAGCTGACAAGACATTTAATGACATCCTTTAGCGTTTCACCTCTACAGCCAAGGAACTTCTCCACATTTAATCTTTTCACTTTCACCATTGCCTAATAACTTTGTTAAAATGAGGGGGGGGGGCGGGAAACACAGGTTAACAAAGGAGTGGAACAAGGCTGCATATTCTCCTGCTATTAATTCAAACTTTATGCTGAATATATATTAAGGGAATTTGGATTGGAAAAAGATGAGCATGGTTTTAAAATTGAAGGAAGGAACATCAATAATCTGCCCTATGGTGATGACACTAGACTGCCAAAAAATGTAGAAGATCTGCAAGGTGTAGCAGTAAAAGTCAAGGAGAACAGTGAAAGAATAGAGCAGAAATTAAATATAAAGAAAACCAAATTAATGACAATAGAAATACCAAGACTTAGGATTAACAGTGAAGATAGTGCAGATATCAAAGTGGCGGACAGTATCTGCCTAGCTATGGTTGATCAACCAACAACAGTAAAGGAACAAACAGTCCAAAAATATACTGCAGACTACAAACTTGGTAGAGCAGTCATTTTATTTATTTATTTATTTATTTATTAATTGGATTTATACCCCGCCCTTCTCCTTGCGGACTCAGG